TGGAAGTCATTTTCTTATTAACCTGGATAGTTATCTGTTGATTTAAACATTCTACTATCTCTTGGCCACAAAATTTCTGTCAAGAGCTGGGTAACCAAAGCAATTGTTTAAAAATAATTCTGACAGCATGATATCAAATAAATGTTAATAAAATTTCAATAGTCAATGAAACCCAGGGAAATTTGTTAAGACTTGTCTTTATGTCTTGTAAAGAAATAGCAACTTGAATACTGATTCTGCTAGGACAGAGCTACTCAAGTAGACGGTGGCAGGAAATGGGTGCACAGATCTTGTGGAGTCCAGACCATCTTGATACAATTTGAGATCCTTTTGTTACTAATGCTTTTATTATTTTATTAAAGAAGGAGCCAAATGATGGGGCTAGATTTTTTTTTGTTTTTTTGTCTTCGTTGTTCTACTAGTGACTAGAATGACTTGGTCTACTAGATGACTGACTTAAACATTGAAAATGTTTCCCAAAGTTTAGTGATACAAATGCCATTTTGATGGTAATATTTTTGTCTATCCTCATACTACCTACACTATTATTCATTTAACAATTTCCTTTAAATAGAGTCCATTTAAAAAAAAATCCTCACCAGAGGATATTTTTCTATTTATCTTCAGATAGAGTGGGAGGGTAGGAGAGAGAGAGAAACACTGACATGAGAGGGACCCATTGACCAGTTGCCTCCTGCACGACCCTGACCAAAGCCAGAGACAAACCGCAACCAAGGTATGTGCCCTTGACCAGAATTGAACCCACAACTCTTTGGTTTGTGGGCCAATGCTCTAACTGCTAAGCCAAACTGGCCAGATCAAATAGAGTGCATTTTTATTACTCAAATACATTTACTCAAATAGGAAACTTATTAGCATGGAAAAGAAACAAGCTATAAATCATGAAATAATGGTTTTGATGTATTAATTATATATTTTTCTTTTACATGGATATTACTATCAAATTTTTAAAAATATCCACCTACCACTTGAGTTACCCAGCGGTAGTTTGGAAAATATTAATTTAAGATCTACCAAACTACTAAGTCATTTTCCTTGTAGTCATAGCTATGATTTTCTATTCATAAAAGCACCATTGACACAGAACAATGAGTCCAAGAAAGAATCCCAGAGATGAACATGATATTTTATAAAATACTAGTTATAAAAATAGTGATGCCATTCATTTGATTGGAGCTCTTACAGTATCAAGTTTTTTCACAAATGTAACCTCGGTTAATCATCATAGCAACCCTAAGAGATCAGCAGGATATCCATTGTTATCTTGGTTTTACACATGAGGAAACCAAAGCTCAGAAAAGTTATGTGACCATACCCTAGGTTATGCAGGCACAGCAAGTGGTAGAGTCGGCTCACTCTTCAGCAACTGGTCTTTCCACTGACTACACTGAGCTACACCTTAGAATTTGGAAAGGTTTATTATTGCACCTCCAGTTAGTAAGTCAGGAACTACAGTTCCTTTTGAATTGCTACATATGATAATGTGTTGATTTTGATAGACACACAATAAACTGTCATGTCTAAATGGTGGCTTTTCTGAGCTTCTCTTTTTATTTAATGAGCCTATATTACTGACCATCTAGTGAAGTTGTCTATAAATCAGCTTTGAATACCTCTCCTCTTTCTAGTTTCTTCTGGTATGTATTTTCCAAGTATAAATTGATAGGCTTTAAGGTTTGGGAGAGAAAAGGTAAAATACAGTCTATAAGTACAGGTATATCCTTAGAAAGTCCCAGAACGCATTGCACTCCAAATGGATTCTATTATCATCAACACCAAACAAACACCTTCCAGTCATTAAGGAGAAAGATACTATGTTGCTGGTCCAGTTTGAACCTATTACTTTACTAATGTATAGTATAGGAAGTTCTGCCATTTTTGTATCCTGCCATTATTTTACTGCCTGTATTTGAAAACGAGATATAGAAGAGATTGTTAAAGACTAAATATAAAAATAGCACTAAATCAACAAAGCAGGTAATAGATCTCTCTCTTTTTTTTTTTTAGATATAATCTCATTATTGTTTAAATTGTACATCTAATCACAGACAGGCTTTCTGTTGCTATAGCTGGATCCACACAGAGAATACTTAAAACTCCCTTGATGCCCTGGCCAGTTTGGCTCAGTGGTTAGAGTGATTGATGGCCCATGAACCGAAGGGTTGAAGGTTTGAGTCTTGGTCAAGGGCACATACCTGAGTTGCAGGTTCAATCCCCGGCCCCAGTCGGGTCATGTGGGAGGCAATCAATCGATGTGTCTCTGTCACATCGATGTTTCTCTCTCTTGCTCTCGCCCTCTCTCCCTTCCACTCTATCTAAAAATCAGTGGAAAGATACCCTCAGGTAAGGATTAACCAACCAAACAAAACAAAACCCCAAAATTCTTTGAATGAGTTTCAGAGTTTTAATATTTAAAATATGTATGTGCCTTAGCTGATTTATAAGATCCTGTCTACCTGCAGCATCCTATCAATCTATGAACGGTTACTAAGTTGTTGAGTCAATTAAAATTTTCTTATTATTGTAGACTATATTCCCTGTTGAGGAGAAATTCTAGTGACATTCATCTTAGCAACATTACATTTACCATATAAATAACCTTATTAAAAATACAAGGTGATTGTTAAGTGGTGTTCATGATAAATAAAAAAAGACATATCTAGTACTTTATTGCTATGATAGTTGTCCCCAACATTTATCACTCAAAATTGAGAGTTAGAAAGAAGGAGAAAATTACATAGTCTCTCAAGCAGTTTATAGCCAAAGGCAGTATAAATGTAAATTTTATTACCTTCTCATACTACCCCTCGCCAAAGAATAGAACACCATATAAAAACATAATCGCAAATACAGCAAGACTTTGGGTAGAACAGCCAGAAATATCAACAAAAGAATACAGTTGAAAGAAGTCAGAGACAAAGATTTCATACAAAACACTATGACTGGTTGGTTGTAGTACAGAAGAAAAGAGTAAATGCCTTCAAATTTTGAGTATCGTATACTAATCATGTTCTTAAATAAATGATGATGGAAAATATAATACCAGAGACATCCCTTGAGGCATGTGCCAAATTCTTAAGCTTCAGAGGGCAAAGGGCAAGAAAACAAAGGCAAAATAAGTTTTTAGCACTCTCATTCATTTTTGGAGACACAAATTACAGTTTAGGATATACTATCGAGAAGGTCTCCTAATTAAACCTCTAGGTGCAGAGGAGAACCAGAGGTCAACCCAGCAAACAGAACTGCAACACCACCTCAAGTTGATTGGACTGAGGTGAGCTGCCTTACTCTGGCCGGCTGTTAAAGAACAGGTTGAATCCTCTCTGGAGGAAAAAACCATCACCAAGAATTCCATAATTTTTTACTCACAATGTCTGATATTCAATTAAAATAACATATATTTTAAGAAACAGAGCCACAGAGGGGAAAACAGTAGAAATAACCACAGGTGACACAGATATGAAGTTATCACTCAAAGGCTATAAAATAACTATGATTAATAATTTAATGTTATGAGCTTTGAAAACATTCAAGAAGTAGATGATAAGATGGAGAATTTTGCCAAAGAACTTGAATCTATTAAAAAGTAATGAATCGGGGAAGTTTTCAGAATAGCAGAGTAAGGACCTCTGAAAATCTGCTTCTCTGTAAAAGCAATGAGAACACTGGCCAAAAAAAAAAGTCAAATCAACTCTTTTGGAACTCTGGAAATTAACTAAAGGCATGCAATGAGTATTCAAGAAAAATGACTAAATCTTTCTAAGAATGGTTAGCTTTTAACTTTAAATCTGAGATTTAAAATATATAGAAATAAAGTGCAAGACAAATAGTATACTAAATTTTAAAAGAATAAGACTAGTAAAAAATACTGTAAAATAAAACAGGTGAATAGAGGATAAATTAGAATAATAAGAAAGTAAATATAAGTCCAAATGTATCAGTAATTACATTAAATATGAATGACCCAAATACTCCAATTAAAAGACAAGATTATGGGACTGGATAAATTATAAAACTCAATTATTGCCACATATATGAGCCATATTAAAAAAAAAAAAAGGTATACAGAAAGTTTGAAAGTAAAAGGATAGACAAAGAAATATAAACACTAGTAACAGAGTTGGTGAAGCAATGCTAATATTAGGCAAAGTAGACTCTAAAATAAGAAGCATGGCTAGAGATAAGGGGACATTTCATAATAATAATATGTCTTATTCACCAAGAAGGTATAAGAATTGTACACTTGCATATGCCTAATAACATAGGTCCAAAATAGTATATGCAAGCAAGAACTGATGGAACTAAAAGGAGAAACAAATGAATTCACAATCATAATGGGAAACTAAAATACCTCTCAAATGAACAGATAAAAAAATCAGTAAAAAGAAAGAAAATAGGAACATAATTAGGAGCTCCATATAATCAAAATGTATACAGACCACTACATGCAACAACAATAACAAAATGTACATTATTTTCCAATACACATAAAACATTTACCTACGTTGACTATATGATGGGTAATAAAGCATCTTAACGAATTGCAAATCATTAAGGGTATGAATAGATGAGCCTTCCATCTTTGTTTCAGCTGCTAGAAAGGGTGGATCAAGCATGTATGTCTCCTCCCCTGTCTGCCAGTAACTAGGCTTTAGTCCTGGCTCCAGTTTAAATCACCATTTTTTTTTTTTAAACTTTGTCATTCTCTATTTTTAACTGACTACGAATTAAATTATTTTCATGTGCATATCTTTGTAAGCCCATTTAACTCCTCTTTGCCGCAAGATATATAAGTAACGTAATAAATTGAAAGAACAATTTTAAATGCACATATTGAATTATTTATCCCATGTGTGTAGAGTTACATTTGTAGTACATTGTAGACACAAAACAAATTTGCACATGACAAAATGCAGTGACTACCCCTAGAATGAGATTATAGGTTTCCTTAGGAAACGGCACCATGTGGCGTAACTCACCTACCCCAGTAGTGTGGTCTCCCTTGGGTCCGGTGTAGGAAGTGGGAGTTTCTCCCCTCCTCCTATGCCAGCTGCTCCGGTTTCTTCTCTCCTGAGTAAATGCACATTCATCTTGTTCGAAGGTACACTCTCCAGGTGGAGGTGGAAGCTTCCCTGCAAAGAAATAGCAGGTGTTGCAGCTTCTGGGGCACTTTCTTTTTTTAATTTATTTATTTTTATTTATTTTTTTATCCTCACTGAGGACATTTTTCCATTTTTTATTCAGACAGAGCAGGAGGAAGAGAGAGAGAGAGAAACATCGACGTGAAAGGGACACATCGACTGGCTGCCACCCACACGACCCAGCCGGGGACAAACTGCAACCGAAGTACATGCCCTTAGCGGTAACCGAACCCGGGTCTCTCTGGACCGCAGGCCGACACTCTAACCGCTGAGCCAAACCGGCCAGGGCCGAGGCACTTTCAATGAATACGTCTTCCGTGGCTCTCTGATAGCCCACTTGGCATGTCTGCCCATATGCCGTGCAGATGAAGAGGGAGCTTGCCAGCCCCCCATTGGCAGCCCACCACCTGTTGCCTCCAGTTAGAGCCTGGACTCCTCCATGGGTTCTGCCATTAGAGGCAGAGAACAATAGAAATCTGGATCCAGAACTATTGGGCTACTTTGAGAAAGAACTTTTCTTTGACTTGTGAATTTATTCATGTGAATGAGTTTAACAAATTCTGAAAATTGGAAGTCTACTGCCTTTATGAAAATGAGGTGAATAATAAAATTCATAATGCAGGAGCTATTTTCAGAAATTCAGGATGGGTAAAGGGAGTCCTCAGAACAACTCCATAGTTGCTTTGGAGGAGGAGAAGAAAGAAAGAGAACTAAAAGTGCTCTAGGGGCCCAGCTTGATTTGTGTGGAGCAGGTTACTCAAGTTTTCTGTGCATCAGCATTCTTACCTGTAATGTGGGGATGTTAATTATCCACCTCCCGGGTTGTGAAGATTAAATGAGATGATGTATGTAAAGTTTTTAGAACATGGGGTTCTAAATAAATACTAGCTAACTTAATATTAAAATTTGGAGTTTTGCCACTTGAAGCCCTATTTTCCATTTCTAAAAACAGATTTTATGACTTGGCTGGTGTGGTTCAATGGATAGACTGGTGGCCCGCACACTGAAGGGTCATGGGTTCAATTCCCAGTCAAGGGCATGTACCTAGGTTGCAGGTTCGATTCCCCAGCCCCAGGCGGAGCATGTTTCCCAATTGATGTGTCTCTCTCACATCAATGTCTCTTTCTCTCTCACTCTCCTCCCTTCTACTCTCTCTAAAAATCAATGGAAAAATATCCTTGGGTGAGGATTAACAAAAAACAATAAACAAATTTTATGTGTTTGGATGCTATCTTCAATAACTTTAATAATTATTATTGTTAGAATGGTGCCACCTCCGAACTTATGGGAGACTTCTCTTTTGGTTGAACTGGTTGTACCTTCCACATTCAGATTCTTAGCAATTTCTCTAACAAATAGGCTGCACTTCATATCTCTTGCATGATAATTATTTTATTTTAGTATACGGTACAAAATAATGAGGCCTCATTCCCTTTTGTACACCATGAGAGTGGAGATTTTTATCTATTTTTTTCTTTATTGATTTTTAGAGAGCGAGGAAGGGAGAGGGAAAGAGAAAGAAACATTGATGAGGGAGAACATGAATTGGCAGTCTGCTGCATGCCCCCCACTGGGGATTTGGCCCACAACCTGGGCATGTGCTCTGACTGGGAATTGAACTGGCGACCTCTTGGTGCATGGGTTGACGCTCAACTACTGAGCCACATCGGATGGACAGAGATTTTTATCTTGTTCTTTGTCTTGTCTTTGCAGTGTCCCGCAAGTCAAGGGACTAAAAACAAATTGTCTTTTAATTAAATAAACATGAAATTATTCTCCAGTGCCAGATTGCTACCACAATTTGCCTGTTTGTTAAACAAATGGAAACCCCATGATTTAGAATGCTGTGGTAATCAGCAGATACAGACCAATGATCTGGGTTGAGGTATCTGTCCTTTATCTCATTACACATAATGCCCAACACATAGCCACCACCTTTATTTTGTTATCATCATCAATGCTTGGCCCATTGTTCTGTTGTCATTTAATTCACTTAGAAAATATTTAATTTATTATCATTTTAAAATTATAAGGTGGGACAAAGTTAGGTTTACAGTTGTGAGTATGTGAATAAGAGTTTATTCGTACACACACACACACACATACACACACACATATATTTTTTTAAATTCTCACCTGAGGACATTCTTGCATTTATCTTCAGATAGAGTGGGAGGGAGAGAGGTAGGAAGAGAGAGAAACTCCGATGTTAGAGAGACACATCGAGTGGTTGCCACCCACATGACCCCAATCAGGGCTGGGGACAAACTGCAACCGAGGTACGTGCCCTTAGCAGAAACTGAACCTGGGACTCTCTGGTCCATGGGCCAATGCTCTAACCACTAAGCCAAACTGGCCAGGGCTATTCTTATATTATTATCTATTAATTATTATATAATTTTCCATATGAACATCTATAAACCTACTTTCCCCCACCTTGTATATGTTTAGTATACTATTTGTGTAATAAAAATTTTATCAATATTGCTTGAAAATCTGCATTTGACAATGACAATAAAAATATAATAGGAGATATTTGTTTTTCTTTCTTTCTTTCTTTCTTTTTTTTTTTTTTTTTTTTTTGGTACATGCCCCTAGAGGGAACCGAACCTGGGACTCTCTGGTCTGCAGGCTAGCACTCCAACCGCTGAGCCGAACTGGCCAGGGTAAGATATTTGTTTTTAAAGCATCGTTTTGTGCCAGGTCCTACACTGGAGAATTTCTATGTATTATCCCAAATATTCAGGTAGGTATTACTACCTCTCTTACAGATGAAGATACAGGGGTCAAGTCATATGGACAAAGTCACACACTGCATCTGAGTCTTCATTTCTCAATTCCACAGCTCTGTAGAAAGGCATTTCCGGAAAGAAAAGCAAAGGATAGACTAGCACAAATTAAACGTCTGTCGTATGTTCTTAGAGAAACCAGCAATGTCATGAATAGGCCAGGCAGACAAAGAGAGCAGAACTGACGGCCATCATTACCTGGAGACCAGCAGCTTCCCAATTCTACCGTAATATCATCCAGGGCTACAAGTCCACAATCCCAAAAACTTTTGCACAGGCTCATGAAAACCACCTGAAATCAGAAAAATAAAACTATGAATTCTGTTGAGTAAAAATGGGAAATTCTTCCAACCTGGGATTTACTTAGCACAATAGGTGTGCAGAAACAAAGGACAGACACACCTCTTCATTGTCCATAGGAACAAAAGACCACGGTGGCTTGAGTAACGGTGCACTGCGTATGTATAACCTTGGAATTACTATTATTTTTTAAAGTAGAGTGAAGCTTGTAATGAAATATTGTGTATAATAATGCTAAATTAGTTTGTGTAAAGAATTGAGACAGGAAAGCAAGAGGTTAATTGGGTGGCAAAGGAAAACCCATCAAGTTTTAAATATTTTCCTCAGAAAATCCACAAAGTACATATAGAGTTGATGGTATTCCAAGCATTTTTGCAAACATTTCCAGTACAAACACTATTGATTTTTTTGGAAGTGATTTTCTGGCACTGGGCTTCATTCACATTGTGAACAAAGTCCCAGTGATTTGCCATCTGGGGACTTATGTTCCATTAAAAAAAAAAAAAGATCTACATCCCTGGGATGGTAACACTAATGAAAGCCCTAAATGCAGTTATTTTATCAGACCAAACACTTTTTACTATTGTATGTGAAGAAAAAACAAATCTATTCCATAAATTATTAACTTCATTTTGCAAGAGAGAAAAAAATATCAGCTTTGTTTTCATTAAGCCAATTTTAAAGGCTACTTTTCACATACAGGATGAACAAAGAGCACTTTTCAAAACATTTAGATTTCCACTGTACTGTACCTTGTGGTTTACAAAGCTGTTTCACAGGTATAATGTGATGTTTAATTAGCACAAGTTTATGCAATCCACATTCAATCTCTCAAATATAAATTTTAACTCAAATAAAGACAAAGGGAGAGAACAGAAGCTGAAATCAAAATGATAAATAATGAGAACACTTGATTTTTTTAGCTTATAATTTTAGTATGTTATATATTAAATTCATCTGTGTGATCAGTATGGTCCCTTTGTTTTTTGATGATCATAGCCATCAGAATATAGTATTTAAAATGAATTTATAAAAAACCACATGACAGTTTTCCAGTATGCAAAATATAAAATTAAACCAAGGTCTTCAGCATAATTACTAATTGTAAGATGTGGGAAAGTTTACTTGGACTATATGTATATCACTTTAAATTACAAAAATGTAGTTTAGAGATCTGACAATATATAACTACATAAATTTATGGGGAACAAAATTAAAAAATATTTAACCCTGTTAATTTTCTCATCTTTAGAAATTCTAGAGTGAAAATTATCTGAACATGTGATATATTTTACTTACAGGATTTATGACTGAGAACTTTGTCTGCAAAACAAAGGTCTGTGTCATCAACCCTGAATGCAGTTATATTTTATTAGCAGTTTTTATTGTTATATGGGAAGGAATACAAATTGCCTTATAATTTATTCAATTAATTGTGATGCAGAGAGAAAAGTCTTGGCTTTCTATCCTTTTGGAACCTTGAAAGTCTATTTTTCACAAGAATAGTGAAAAGCACTTTTGCAAATTGAATCTGTGGTAGTGAAATGATTTGTTATTACCTGAATAAAAATCAAACATTTGGCGTGGAATTGTATCCTAAAGTGAAGAAATATTAACATGCTTTCATATGTTTACTATGGCTTTGTTTTATAATAACCATAAAACCAAATAAATGAAACAATCCAAATTTTTCAAAAATAGAGGAAATAAACTGTGCTACCATAATCTAAGAAACAGGCAATCATTAGCTCTGAAAGCTTATAAATGTTATTTAGTAATATAGAAACTTTCATAATTTTAAGTTTAAAAGCTGGTAATAATAAGTAAAAATAAAATATCTAACTCATCTAAAAATACATAGGAAAAAACCTTGAAAATTGATGAAATTCATAACAATTATGTTAGGCTTGTAAAATTAGGGGTAGTAAACAGAATTTCCCCTATTTTCTAAACATTCTATAGTTTTGTTATATTTATAATTTTTTAAGTAGGAAAAGGAATCAGAATATCTATAGTTAAGATGTGGAATAATGAGTTGATGTATCCTAGACTGGCATCGTTTATTATGATATCACTAGGACTAAGTAAAATTAAAAATGCATTCCTTCAGTTACACTAGTCACATGTCAAGTGCTCAACAGCCACATAGTGCTAGTGGCCAACTGAACTGGACACAGCAGATACATAACATTTTTTCACTGCAGAAAGTTCCGGTGGATAGAACTTCCTGGCTCCTTTTGAACATTCCAAGCAATCTGTGACCTGCCACAGTGGGTTAAGCAAAATGCTAAAGATGTTCTGGACAACCATTGGCCACTAGGTTGTTCTTATCTTAGAACTCTTTCCATATGTAGATTACTAGCCATACCACTTGTTCTGTCTGATAAAAGATTCACAGTCAGTCAGCTAAGGACTAGATTTAAACTATGGCCTCAGACCTCAGACTGGTTTGGCAGTTGTCTATCAGTATCCCAACATACAAAAGAAACACAAGATCAGCTTGTTTGGTTTGACACATTGGATTTTCCACCTTGCTATTAGTATTGCTGATAATGTCAGCTCCGACTCTTGTGCGGATATCTTACACTGTGAGGGCTATTTGAGGTGGAGAGGTTATTTTAGGGTAGTTCATGACATAACAAGCTGATGATGGGGCCTGGTTGACACAGGACAAAGGGAAAGCCAAACATCTTGGTCTGTTCTTAAGAACTCTGTCCCTGGGTCCAGTTAAGAATGTGACAAGAATGGAATTGGCTATGCTCTAAATTCTTGAGGAATCAACCTCTTGTGTATTTATAGATCCTTTTAAAAAAGAGTGTTTATTCCATCTTAGGCAGTATTTCAAAGCAAGTGGGATAGTTCTAAAGATGGGGGGTGGGGGTTTGAGGGGGAAATCCTAGGCAACTTGAGTGCATATTAATATCTATTTGAGAGGGGAGAAGAAGAGAGACAAAGTAAAATTTCTTAAAATCTAAAGGCAAATTAGATTGGTGTAAATAAATTTTTTCATTGTACTAAAGGTTCCAGGTTTTAGGTACTGGTGATACTTGAACATTTTTGTTTGATAGAGAATATTCATTGTTGAGGAATCTTACCTAGACTAACTTTGGAAATAGGCAATGAATGGAGAGCTACAGAAACATATTTGTAAATACTTTTAAATATAGTCAAGTAAGGATCAACAATATTTCCTAACTTATTTTGCATTATTCTAAAAGTAGACATTGTACATGCTCATTTGTCTACAGTAGGGTGTTCCAATGTCAGCCGTTTTGGTATTTTGCTCCAGACAATTCTTTGTTGTAGGGGATTCCCCTATGCATTGTAGAATGTTAAGTAGCAACCAAATGTGTGTTTGGTTTTACACATTGGGTTTTCCACCCTGCTATTAATAATGCTGATAATGTCAGCTCCTATCTGTTACTGCCATGTTACACTGTGAGGGCTACTTGAGGTGGACAGGTTATTTAAGGGTAGTTCATGATGTAGCAAGCTGATAGCAATATTGCTAAATACCATATCACCCCCAAGTCATAACAATAAAAAATGTCTCCAACCCTGTCCAGTTTGGCTCAGTGGCTAGAGTGTTGACCTGTGGACAGAAGGGCCTCAGGTTTAATTCCGGGCCAAGGGCACACATCTCAGTTGCAGGTTCGATTCCAGACCCCGGTTGGGGTCATGCGGGAGGCAAATTAATGTGTCTCTCTCACATCAATGTTTCTCTCTCTCTCTCCTTCCCACTCTATCTAATTAAGAAAAAATGTCTCCAGACATTGCCAAATGTCTCTTGGGGTTGAAGGCAAAATGTCCTCTGGTTGAGAATCACTGGTCAAGGGTGGTAGAAAACCGCTATGCAGATTATAAAATCCCACTTACTAAATTCCTGTTCTGCGTCCTCCCTGTGTTGGGCACTTTCAGATCTGTTACCTCATTTTCGGATTCGCTGTCAATCTTAAACTATTTATTCTCCTGCGCCAGAACAGAACAGTTGTTTGTTTTAAAAGTGGACTAGGTTGAGTTGGTATTCTCTCCTGCACATCACGGGGTGGTGGTTAGAGTAAGGAATGAAATATCCTCAAGCCCTGGAAACAAAAGCCACAGGAGTCAAAAAGCAAGGGAGATGCACTACCACTTGAACTGAATAATCGTCCCTGAGATTATCAGGGCTTTACTGCTCCAATTTCCTGCTTCAGAAAACTCATGCTGAGGAAGGGCAATAGAACCTTGTCTTTGTTTTCATCTTTCTCCCCTTTGAAAAAGAATGATCTACTCCCTCAAAACAACATGAATCTAAAAAGTAATTGAGCAAAGTTTCCTCAGAGGATGTCATTTTAAACTCTTTTCTAAAGTTTTTTTGGGGGATGTGGAGGACGCAGTGGGGTGAAGAGAGGGTCTGTATAGAAACCCAACCACAAGACTGTGTTAGCCAGAGGGGCTAGACTGCCCCCAGCTCAGTAAACGCCGTCAAAGCCCCTGGTTGGAGCACCTGGGAAAGAAAACGCAGAGAAATAGATGTGTCAGGAACTTCTTTTCCCAAACCAAGTCAGACTGGATTTTTAAAAGAATTAGGGTTACTGATTTTAACTTTATGGCATCTCATGGTTTAAGGATTTTGCTGAGGGAGGGAGGAAATCAAGCTTTGAGGCGAGGTGTGGAATAGACAACCACAAACCTTTGTTGTGCAGTTAGAAAGGATTATCTGTGTTAAAGAATTAAACATTGGCTATACTGACTGGCTTTTCACTGTCTCCCCCTTGCCCCCCACACCCTCCACTGTATTTTAGTTTCCATGGCCTGCTGGTTAACTTGGTTGGCCAGGTTGTTGGGTTAGTTCACCACCTACTTTACCAACTGAAAAGCTCCAGTTAGGCCTATAATTAGTATGTGAATGATAGTTTCCAGAAATGACCTTCTGCCTTCACATAGGAGCATTTCAATCCCATGCCAACAATACCATAAATTATCCACGCTTGCAAAACGAACCTAGTTAGG